AAAAGTAGCATTAAAAATATTAAATTTTAATTTCATTTGATTTTAATTTAATTTTTTACCAGTGTCGAGTGTTGCAATAATGGTATCTTCGCCGTATCGAGCTTTCTCCCAAAGGGAAGACGGACTAACAAAGCCATCCTTTTCCAGTCGAAGAAAATCCCACGAATGAGTCGTGTGCAGTTTTCGACCTTTGTTCTCTACTACTGATACCACATTTGGATGCTCTACATTTATACACCAAAAAATTTAATTAATTAAAATCATTATAAAATAAAAATATAAACATATATAATTAATTAATTCAAACATGATTGAAATACATTATATGAATATTAATATTAATTTGCTTTGTACACATACTAGCAATCTCAGCAGCCTCTTCTTCCTCAAGAAGTGCAGCAAAACCATTTATATTCCTCTTGTACGAGTAAAACATGGAATCTCTAGCCTTTTGCTCACTGCATGACACGAATCGGTTCGACTATTACAACGAAACGTAATTTTGCGATAATTTTTTCACGAAAAACTTTTCGTAAAATAAATAAGTCGCAATACCTTCCCAAGAATGAAGTGAGCAACTCGGTGTGTGAATCTTCGACATGGTGGTAATCAGCAGCAGTCACATCCGGACCATGATTATGTGCTCCCAAGTAGACAACATAGGACTGATCGAAAAATAAGTATAATAAGAGATTAACAAATTTAATTATTTTTATATATAAAAAATAAAATAAAATAATTGTGTCACGATGACAATATATATATGTATATATATGCACCTTTTTAATGGCTAAAGCTGGTTCTTGGAACGCAAGAAGAAGGATTAATAGTGCAAAAAATGGTGAAAACCTGGCAAAAAAAATCATGGCTGCCTTTTTTTTTTTTTGTATAATAAAGCTAATTTTGATGATACAGCGCTTTGTTGATGATGAATATATACATATATATAAGATATAAAATTAATGGCGGATAATAAAAAATAGAAGAATAATTAATATATAATGATAAGGAATGGAATGTAACCCGATCAAGACCAATAGAGAAAGAAGAATCATAAAATAAAAGAGTGGATTATGTAAATATGATTTTTCCTAAGTTAGAGATTGACTTGTTTGAATTATTCAGTGACCGATCGAGGTGCTTAATTAGAAGGATTAGGAATGCTAAATTAGTAAGTTCAACTTATATATCGTGCAAATATTAATTCCATCAAAGATGATTTGAACTTTTTAAGCCTTAAATTCAGTATTTGAAATTTTTTACACTTTTGGATGTACTACATATTTGATATAGTACGTAACAATAATGATCACTTACCCACGTGAACACATGTTAATATGTCACACATTAGTGATAGTAATATGTTTAAAAAATACACCGTGTGTATACCACATAAGCGGTGAGCATATTAACATGTGTCCGGGTAGGAGAGCATTATTTCCTAAAACAACTCACTTTTAGTATTATAATATAATATATTTAGCCTTTTTTTTATCTATTATTATTCGGCCTAGACCTAAATCAGTGATTTGTATCTAGGATCAGGATATTCTAAACACTGATATCCTACCACATTTAAAAAAAAATAATAATAATAATAAAAATAAAATAAAATAAAATTAGATTAGGAAACTTTTAGATATTCTTTTCTATATTTCTTCTATTCTCTTTTGGTAATTTTTTTTAGTTACCATCCGTTAGACTTTTATTTCTATTTTTTAGGTAAATCGTTAGTGTATTGCACACATTATGATTGGTGCCATAACATGATGTGTGATAGTTGTGGCACCAATCATAATGTGCCACATCACATGTGACACCATAGAATTTCTGTACAAGTTGTGGCACCAATCATAATGTGCTACATCATGTTGTGGCACCATAATATGGTGCCACATGTGGCACCATAGAATTTCTGTACAACATATAACTACATTAAACATAAATATATCAATTGAAAAATAATTTTATTTTTCTAATAAATTTTAATAAATATTATTGTTTTTTATTATTATAAAAAAAATATAATTTATTTATTTCATATATACAATATGGATGTCAAATCGAAAATCATCAAAAGATGATTAATTTGATGTATTATATATGTAAAACCGATAAAAAATAAAAAAGTTATCAACTTTTAAAATACATTACAATTCAATAGCTAATTAAAGGAAGCTAACTTAAAGTCAGTGATATATTAGTCACTTAGTGCCTCACTATGTAAAATTACAAAGAATTAAAGGGTTATATTAGTACAAGTGATATTAAAATACCTAAGTTAGCTAAATAATATTTATCGAATGTCCGAACCTAGATTCTTAATTATTAATAAATCAATATTATTTGTCCAAACTTAATTACGAAGCATAATTTTTTGCCAAGTAGGATTTCGAAGCACCAGAAGCAGTCACGTAGGCTCAACGCATCCAGGAATTACATATAAGGGGATGTGATATCAATAATTGGTCTAAATCCGTGTTTTTTTTTTCGTCTTCTCCCCCAAATGGTTAAAACCCTTCCCTCTAGCCTTCCCGTCGCTGGTTCAATTTTCTCGCCTTCCCCGACAAAAAGTCGGTCTCTTGTCGGTGGATAGCCCTAAGATGCACTCCCATGCCCCGATTTTGTGTCATACCCTTTCGGTTCGCGCCATATGGGGAAGATAGAGGTTCGTCGCCTCCAAAATCTTTGAATGACACCTGCAAAATATTACGATGTTAATAATTTTACAAGATACTCAATCTAATTTATAAAATAATAATTTTTAAGTTCTAACATAATAATAATAATAAAATTTTAATTTATAAGATAATCAGTTCTAATTTATTACATAAAAATTTCTAAGTTATGACATAATAATAATAATTTCTAAATTTTAAAATAATCTACTCTAATTTATAGCATAAAAAATTCTACTAACATATTTTTTTTTAATACATAAAAAATAACTTATAAAAAAAACTGGTCAACCGGCGATTGCGGTTGCGTGCGGTCGCGTTCGGCCGACCAAGCCGGCCGAACATGTTCATGGCCGGCTGCATATTGCGGCCGCCGATGGTCATGGCCAGCTTGGCCTGTGGGCCTCCGCCGAGAGCAACTCCACCGATAAAAATCATACCTCGTCGTCAAACATATTTTTGTCGAAAATCGCATGACTTCAGAGAATTCACGATTTTTTGAGGTTTTTAAAACATGTTAAGGGGAAAACGATCCAAGGGATAAGTACGTAGTAATAGGGCACGATGAATAGTAACACCCTGAAAAAGTCGGTCCATTCCCCGATTTTTAACCAATTCCACGGCGATTCTTTTGCAAGAAGTCTTTTTTTAAACGGACTGGTTAGAAGGCCAGTTCCTTGTCTAACCTATCTAAGGTCATATTTTTTCAGAATTAATATTTATCTATTCACGATATTACTATATATTAATTTATCATACCACAATAAAATATTATTACCTCCTATTTTTTTTCCTAATGTCATTTTGATTTTATCAACAATTGACTAAATAAACGACGTTTTGAATTTTTTTAACATATTTTTTTATTATTACCCTTGTCTAACTAATAAATACACTACGTCTTTTTATATTCACTTTTCATCTTTTCTCAAAATATTTATCTCTATCCTCATTAATGAATATAATTATTGAAAAAAAGGTTATTAATTATTGTACAACTTCCTAAACTCATTAAAAATAGGAGGAGGGAGAATGGTGGTGGGAGAGATTCGAAGCTTTTTTGTCGGCCAACGCCCTGCTGCTAGCTTGTCGCGGCGGTGATGTCTCTGTCCCTCTCGGCGCGAAGCGATAGAATGATATGGGGATACACTTCGAACGGTACTTTCTCGACACGGTCGACTTACGAAGCGTTGTCGCGAGGGGCTATGCACAATGTCTGGCCGGTGTGGAACGCCATATGGAAAGCGCCAGTAGCACAACGAGTTCGTCACTTTTTATGGTTGGCCTGCAGGGATCGTTTGCTAACTAATTTGGAGCGGGTTCGTCGGCATATGGCGGAGGACGCAGCGTGCATAAAGTGTGGATTGCCGGAGTCCACGACACATGTCCTCCGCGATTGTGAGATGGCACGGAGTATTTGGGTGGAGCTCGTTCCGAGAGATTATTGGCCAGTTTTCTTCTCCCAGGACGTTTCTCTGTGGTTGTGGGTGAATTTGATGGACACTCCGTTTGATGGGTTGTCCAATTGGGCTACTACGTTGCTATCACTTGTTGGCGTCTCTGGGCTTGGAGGAATATGACTATTTTTTCGAATAGGACAATATCGCTTGAAACAAAGATTGTGGATTTACGGAGTCGAGTGGATAGACACTTGCGTTTCACAACTGGTGCTAGGGCTCTGAGTGCGGTTGTTCGTCATTATGAGGACATTTTGATACGCTGGACTCCACCCCGGTAAACTAGATTAAAGTTAACACGGACGGCGCGCTGTGTACAGCTTCCGGCAGGGGTAGTGCAGGAGGACTAGCCCGCGATACTTATGGTAGATGGCTTGGCGGATTCCTTATGAATGTGGGCTTTTGTTCGATCACTGGGGCGCAACTATGGGGTCTTTACCGTGGCCTTCAACTGGCCTGGGGGTTGGGTGCGCGGCACGTGTTAATGGAAGTGGACAACAGTAGTGTCGTGGCCATGGTCTCGGGGACTGAGGTAAACCTTGATCTTCATGAAACCATTATTCAAGCTATTCGGGAGTTACTTAAGAAGGAGTGGTATGTTCGCTTGGCTCATATCTATAGGGAAGGTAATTTCTCGGCCGACAAGTTGGCGTCGTTGGCTGCTGGGGTTTCAGTTGGGTTTCATCGTCTCATGGATCCGCTGCCGAAGCTTGGACATTGGCTGAACTATGATCTTTTAGGGGTGGCCCGGCCACGCCGTGTGTTGATTTAGAGTTTTTCTTAGGCCTTGACCTCTTTTATTGTACAAAAAAAAAAAAATAGGAGGGAGTAGTAATGGAAAGTTTTAATTCTTCTACACTTTTTTCGAAAAAGAAACTATCCTTTGAAAATATATCCCGTAATGATTCGTGTTTTAACCATACATAATCATTCCGGATTCCAATCTATGCAGTGCTGAACAAACAAATTTGAGATATGGGCTGGGCTGGGCTGGGCTTGGCTGAGTTGTTGCTGCCCCATTAAGCAAACTGACAACTGACGTTTTGTTTTAAACACATCTGAGCAAAACAATCTCCAACCATTCTTCATTTTTCATCTCTTTCTTCCATCATTTCATCTGTTTCATTCCTTCCTCCCAATTCAAAATATAACATCAAAAGTCGGAGGAATTCATTTTCTTCGGATTTTATCGTTTTCTATCAACATTTTTCCTCCTAATTTTCGACCCAGTTGACTGATCAAGTGATCGCCGATTAATTTCACTGAGAAAAAATGGACAGCAGCTTGCCGGTGACGACGACGGCGTCCTCGAAATCCGACCGGCGATCGAAATCCAAGACTTACCAGAGCTCCTCCAAGTCCTCTCTTCTCATGGGGTTTCTTTCTTGTCTTGCTTGGCTCTACGTTGCTGGCCGGTGAGTTTTCTGCATTTTACTGTTCTTTTTTCCGCCGATCTCCTTTAACTGTTGCTAGTGTTTCCATGTTATTGTGATGTGTTTTTTTTTTTCTTCTCTGGGTTATTTGTGTAAAGGTTGTGGCAAGATGCGGAGAACAGAATGTTGCTGGCGGGTTTGTTAAAGAAGAATTCTGGTCAGGTTTGAATTCTCAAGATTTGTTTTTTTCCCATTTAATTTTCTGCTGTTGGTTCGGATCTTTGTGATTTTGGTTCCTAAAAGGGATATGCTTTGTGTAAACAGTATTAGGGGGTGTTGAATTGAAAATAGAGACAGATTTGGTTGGAAAAAGCTTGTTGTTGAGTTTCGATAATGCGAAAAGGCGGATGAAGACAAATTGGAAATGAATACTGATGAACAGAACATTTGAAGTAGAGATACCCTTTGCAATGTTCTAGTTATCGAATATGAATTAGTGATTGGGCAATTGAAGCACTCTTCAAGGGTGAAAGAGTTGATAGAAAGGAGATATTGAAACAATTGGGGTTTATGGACAGAATTAATATATAATCTATCTGTGCAGCAAGTCGGAAAAGAATCTAGTTGGATATGAATGCGCACACACATAAATATATGCATGTGATTATGGTTTAACTTAGGCATTTATGTAATCCTCGTGTAGAGGAATGGAAATGAAAATCTTACATGACTAAACGAGCGTACTTTTGTTGGCAGCGACCTCGGGCGCTTACCGTGGAAGACAAACTCATGGTCCTTGGATGCAAGTACGCTCTCGCATAGCTTTTTTCTTTCATATACATATTATATGAGACTGTTTATTTTTTTCTTATGTTGATGAGTGCTATAGGGAACTAGAGAGGAGGATTGTTGAAGCTGAGATGGAATTGACGTTGGCCAAGAGCCAAGGTTATCTAAAGAACCAAGTACAGCAAAGTGGTTCTTCTTCTGGTAAGAAGTTCCTTGCTGTTATTGGAGTTTATACTGGCTTTGGGGGCCGGTTAAGGCGCAATGTTATCAGGGGAACTTGGATGTCAAAAGGTTTGTAGTTCATTTTTCCCTATATGTGAGATCCCTATATAATGATACGTAGGGTATATTCTGTACCATTATGAACATGACAGCGGTTGAAGATTTTGATGAACTCGATTGTGGTTGCAGCTGATGTGCTATCAAAACTTGAAGAAAGAGGAATTATTGTTCGATTTGTGATTGGACGGAGGTCTCCCACTTTTTATGCGCATTTGTTTGTTATATTAAAAAAAAATTGAGAATATTTTACTTAAGTCGCATTCTAGTATCATTTTTGGTGTCACTCTAGATCTCAATCGAGTATTAACTAGAATTTGAATTCTAATTTTGTCTTTGCAGTGCGAATCGTGGTGACAGCTTGGACCGCAATATTGATGAGGAAAATCGTTCAACGAACGACTTTTTGATTCTCGTGAGTCATTTGTACGCATGTTTGTTCAGCTTCATAATTATCTGCGCCCCATAGATTCTTCTAGTTCAACTTTTTTTTTGCGTCTATTCTCTTTTCTCTCTCATTGGATAGTCATTGTGATTTGTGAATGTTTCTCCATAACGCTCCTAGTACTATGGGAATCATTAATGTGAAGTCTTACGAGATGGTAATGAGGATAATTTTGTGTTGTATTTGTAATAAGTTGTTATTATCAAACATGTGTTTATATCATTCATAAAACAATTGTAATCTTTTAGGATCATCATGAGGAGGCTGAAGAGGAGTTGCCCAAAAAAGTAAAGTATTTCTTTAGCACCGCAGTCCAGATGTGGGATGCAGACTTTTATGTAAAAGTCAACGACGATGTTGATTTGAATATTGGTAAATCTCGAGTTGTACTACTAGAAAATTTGAACTCCTAAATTATCCAGTATTTCTTTGACTAATGAAGATATTTTATTCTGTGCCCTTGGCAGATGGTCTCATTGAACTTCTCCAAAGCCGTCATGATAAAGATAATGCTTACATTGGTTGCATGAAGTCCGGGGAAGTAGTTGTTGAACAGTATGCTCCCCGACTTCTCTTGATTTTTCATGGATGAAAGAGTTAAACAAAAATCTCAACTTTCATATATGATACTCAACAATTCTAGTTGGCTAACGATTAAAATTCTTTATAGTACAATATGTAGGTTAATATGATGTTACTCAGCAAAGACTCGTTTTTCTTGTATTTGCAACAGGATTCTGTTAATGTGAATTACCTAGTTATGAGTTCTAATTATTTTGCTTAAATTTTCAGGGGAAAGCCATGGTACGAGCCCGAATGGTGGAAATTTGGTGATCAGAAATCGTAAGTACTTACCATAACATTGCTTGTTATAGTTAATAGACTCGTGCTGTAATCACATAGCCAGCAGTCCTTTTGGTGCACACCCGCATACATGCATTTATATTGTTTGTTCTAATCTAATAGATTGGTTAAGAGTCATTTTAGCTGCACCACAGGTAACTCTTCATCACATTTCTTTTTTTCTTTACTTTTTCATCTCACTTTTTATATTGTTTGTGCTAATGTAATAGATTGGTTGAGAGTCATTTTAGTTGCACCGTGGATTACTTTTTGTCACATTTATTATTTTATTTTTCAGGTACTTCCGCCATGCAGCTGGTCCGATCGTTATACTCTCTAAAAATTTGGCGCAGTATATAAATATTAACAGGTTAGCCATAATTATGATAATGCTGTGTGCTTCCGATTTTGTTACTATAATTGTCGTATAATAATACATCATGCTACATAAATGCAGTGCATCTCTAAAGACTTATGCTCACGATGATACCTCTATGGGTTCATGGATGATGGGTGTTCAAGCAACCTATATCGACGATAGTAATTTGTGCTGCAGTTACTCCCGGCAAGGTAAAAAATGGGATCCCACTTAAATTTGACCTTTATCTTCAGTTTAGAAGTTCGTTATCTTTAACTCTGGTTATAAAATAACGGGTTTTACAGACAAGGTTTGTTCCTTGGCTTGATCTACAAAGAATAGAGAGCTCGTTTGAGGGCTGATACAGAAACCGACAGCAAGCTGAATGTGGAGCAATTGTAGAAGAGGGAATTGGTTAACGGGACGTGACATCAGTTAGATCATTCTTTACGTTGCTGAGATTGGCGGCAATTATTACGAAGCAAATATTATCCGAGAGTGACACTTTGAAGGAAATATGGAAGCTACATGCTTCATACAGAGCTTCCAGCTTTAGGCTGCGGATGTACTTGCATATGTCAGTACTGTATTTGAGACTATTTTTAAGGTACAAATATATGTAGTTCGCACTTTGCAGTAGTTTTAGTTGGTTAAAATCACATTTATGCGAATGATATTGCAAGAGTAGTAACTTTACCTGAAAATTATTGACATTGAAGAGAGAATCAAATGAAAGATGTTATAAATATAAGTATTATATTATGCGAATTTGTGAAATAAGCTATCATAATCACAAAGGTTTATTTCTAGATTACCTTAAGATTATAGAACTAGAAAAATATGAAAAACGTACGTGAATAGATTAAGATTACGAATTGTCACAAATATTTTTATGTAGATTACCTCAAGATTATATAGATCTTGAAAAATATGAAAACTTACGTGTGCATCGTATATTTCGTAAAAAAGTTATTACGTAGACTGTAAGTATAAATGAACCGAGTTTGACTCGGTCTCATTTACCGTAAAAATGTTGTTATTAGGTAGACAATAAGTGCTAACGAACTGAGTTTGACTCATCTCGTTTATCAATGTTAACGAGTAAACTTATAAAAAAGTTACATAAAATTTTCTATTTTTTGAATCTTAATGAAAGTCAAGTTCACAAGGGGTGATTGGATATGAATTCAACTAATATTTTTTTTTTTTTTTTAACTATAGTTAAGTTTGAAAAAATGTGATATGATTAGTTGTTAGTGGATATATTAAATTAATATTTAAAATAAAATAATTAAAGTTGATTCGATATAAAAGTATGAGAAAATGATTGGAAGTGATAGATAGTTAAAATTATGTGAGTGGATGAATAGTGAAATAAAGTTGATGTGATGTGTAAGAATGATTGATTGATATTATGTAATTATAATTTTCAATATTGGAGATAGTGAGATTGAATTGAAGTTGAATTAAATTTGAGTTTTAATTGATTTTTTTTACTGTTCAATTTATATCCAATCGCACCCCAAGTAACTCACTTCATTTAACAACTCTATACTTTTTATTTATACTAGTAAAGTGCGCATGCGATGCACGTAGTGACAAATATTTTGTGGCCGATAAGATAAATTAATTAATTAATTAATTAAACATATGATTGTAAGAACAAAATAAATATAGAACAAATAAACTCCTAATATTTTTTTTTTCAAAAATAACATAATGATGTCGTAATATAAAATGATTTAAATGACATGTTACAAACTCAACAAAAATATATCAAAAAAAAAAAGAGTCCCTAATAAACAAAACAAAAAACGAAATAACTAAATAAAGATCTAATGTATATTATAAATGCATGAGTATTTTTATCTATTTATATGGTTCAAGAGTGATTTATTTCATTTTAGTTTTGAGTTCTCATATGAAACATTCATACTCATTAGAGTTCAATACATCAACAGTATTGCAAAATTCTTCTTAATTAATTTAAGAAAAAAAAAAGTTTGCTTTATTCAACAAAAAAAAAAGTTTGCTTAGTAAAA